ACACATAATTGGTTTCCGTCCAATAACTTTAGTTTAAGTGAATGGATCGCTATGAATTTTTTTTCAGAAGGTTCAATACCACAAAAGGAAGGTTGGGATTGATTTTGGGGGTGATGGTCCCAACCGTTTAGGAACTTGATGATGATTAGGGGCCCAAAACAAGCATTTTTCTAGTTTCAGGATAATAACTTGTGTATATTAAGTATTTCGATTGCTCTGAAATTGTACCACAATGTTTAATACCACAAGTAGAAGGTTGGGATTCATTTTAGGGGTTATGGGGGCCAACAGTTTAGGAATTAAGGGCCAAAAAGGAGCAAAAAACAAGCATTTTTCTAGTTTCCAAGACAATAACTTGTGTGTAAGTGTATGGATCTCTCTGAAATTGTACTACAAGGTTCCATACTACAAAGGAAAGGCTGGGTTTGAGTTTTGGGGTTATTGCTCCAAGGGGGTTTCAAAAAGTTGGAAGGGGGGAGGGGGGGTGATTTTTCTCCCAATTTTTTTAAGGGATTCATATTTTTTTTTCAAAATATTTAAAATTTCGAATTTTTGAAAAGTTTCAGGAAGAAATCTTCAATTGCATAGTATTGCGCAATGGATTTATAAAATCCACGACGACATTTATTTTGTGTCAGAAACCTATATTATGTCAAAAATTTAATCACAATCCAAATTCAGACAGTATCAAGCTTGAATATTGTGTCCAAATTTGCCCCAACTGTTCAGGGTTTGACCTCTGCGGTCGTATCAGGCTGCGCTCAGCGAAGCATTTTATTCAATATCATGTTAAAGCTGTTAGGTCAAATAATTCCACAACTTGGTTCGCTGCCTTTGACAGCTGGTACAAAAACTAATATATCCCAAAGAACATAATCTGCTTTCCAGTCTTTATATCTTTTGGTAGAATGTTTTCAGTCACCACCAAACTGTAACTTTGCCATGTTGAAATATCTGACCACAAAGTTCTCGGCATTGCAGGAGATGGTGTTTTTCTCTGCTATTAACTACATGGCTGTATCAAATCTATTGAGAAGTTCAGCAACTGATGTTTGAGACTGAAAAATATTTCGTTATCTTTTTTTAGTGGGGTTAATGTTGATCAATGTTTGGTTTTTGGCGTAGTATATTGTGAACTATTTTTTGTGTTTTTTTTCTTTTGACCATGGTGCTATCCGTCTTTCTTTGGTTTTTTTTCTTTTGACCATGGTGCTATCCGTCTTTCTTTGTTTTTTTTTTCTTTTGACCATGGTGCTATCCGTCTTTCTTTGTTTTTTTTTCTTTTGACCATGGTGCTATCCATCTTTCTTTGTTTTTTTCTTTGTACCATGGTGCTATCCGTCTTTCTTTGTTTTTTTTCTTTTGACCATGGTGCTATCTGTCTTTCTTTGTTTTTTTTCATTTGACCATGGTGCTGCCTTTCTTTGGCGTATAGTTTTTGATTCACTAACATACAATTAGCATCCCCATAGAAACCAGCTGTGCTCCTCGTCTTTTCCAACTTGTTCCATCATTCATACAGGAGCTCCTCAAGAAGAACGATACAATGCTAATATTATCCTTAAAACTTCATGTTCCACTAAATAATTGAAACTTTGGTAACCATGTTTATAGGATCTCTTCAGTCCTTCATTTCTTGACTTACATCTAATAATTGAAAAGGAGGGTCAGATGAGAACTAAACTTTACACAAAACAGATGATTTCAGATTAGCTTATCCAATTGTGAACTTTCCAGCAGTACCTGTATATGGAGTATATTTCTGCCAGTTGATAGGATATTTCCAGAGCTTACAAGGGAGCTATTAAACCAAGGGTTCATAGTAGTAATGTTGAAGTCATGGAAAGTTTTATGGATGCTATCATGATTTGGTTGATCTTTACTGAATATCCGTTTCAGATGAGCATGGATGTATTAAAGATTTTTAAGCCATAATCCTGTCCTCTTCATCTATCATGACATCACCAAACTTTTACTTGCAATGAGCAACAGTGTCACTAGTGGAGCAGGATATGTTTACCCTACTAGAGAATCTGATATAACCCTTTGTTTTGTTTTAAAGGGGTTCATGTTGTTTTCACTTTAGTTTTAAGTGCTGTTTTTTTGTACTATTTTAATCTTAAATGTCTGTGTTGGTTTCTACAAGCATCATTCTTGTCTATCCTTTGTCCTGAAAACCTTTTTTTTCATTTTTGAAATTTCACATCTGAATGAGAATTTTCTTGTCTAATGGTTCATGAATTGGTGCAATCTTAGGGTTAGAAGAGAAATTCACCAATATGCTAGTATGTGATGCATACTCACCTGTAATGAACATATCAGTGGCGGATTCAGAACTTTTCATAAGGGGGGGGGGCCCGCTCCAGTCATGCTTCAGTGATTCCCTATATAATCAACAAAATTTTTCCCACGAAAGGGGGGCCCGGGCCCCCCTGGATCTGCCTATGCATATTTTAACAAAAGTAAGACTGTAGGTGTCACTAGTGGAGCAGGTTTTTTGGTGAGCTCTGTATTGCTCAGTCTCTTGTTTTCTGTGTAGTGTTTTCTAAACTGTTGTTTAGTCTTTTTGAACATGGTGTTGTCAGTTTTTCTGACGTGAATTTTGATTGTCCCCTTGGTGTCTTTTGCTTTAAAAAAATCTGTCCCCCTTTTCTGTATAATATTCATGAGTTAACTGCTTTTTCTGTACTGGTTTTTACTGTACATTTTTCTTGTGTACATTTTGTTAACCTACTGATGAAGTATAAAAAAAGAGGAGGGTCATGATCTAAATAAACTGTTGAAACAGAGATGTGTCTCACCTGTCGGCACAAAATTCATAAAAAAATAATCTGATGGACAGCAACATTGCTTATTAATTAAAAGTTGCTGGACCATGATCTAGTGAGCAGGGCCTCGAAATGGTAGACAAACTGAGATGAACAGACAGAAATGTAACTTTATAGAAAATATTGTTGTCTATTGTAAGCAGTTCCTATCAATCTAACTTGAGCAGAAACTTTACATGTCCTAGGGTGCAGGGCCTCAAAACAGTCGTCAAACTGACATGTACTGATAGTAATGTGACTTTTTACAAAATATCATTGATCTAACACAAGTAGATCCTATCAAACTAACCTAAGCAGAAAACTTAACATTGGAAATTGCTAATTAATTCAAAGTCACTGGACCATGACCTAGGGGGCAGGGCCTCAAAATAGTCATCAAACTGATATGTACTGATAGTAATGCAACTTTATATTAATATCAATGATCTTTCACAAGTAGTTCCTATCAAACTAACTTAAGCAGAAAACTTAACATTTGTTGAAGCCGTCACTGTTATCACCTTCTCCGGAAAAGCAATCCCTATGTCTTACTTTCGGCCCCCCCTCTCCCATCTCATTTTCATGTGCATGATCACAGTCAGGGACCTCTTCTGTAGGTATGGTATGTCATATCTTAATTCTTTCTGTCACTTTTATAGACCCAAGACTATTTCAAGCTTGACATATTGTAAAGACACCTGTCTATTGTTAAAGACTGCATGTTGCCCTCATGTCTTTGGTTATTTTTGTTGTTGGGTTGCTGTCTCATTAATGTATATTCAACATCTCCTTTCATTCATACTCCTGAAATTTTCCAGATAAGAACTGATGTGAATGTTTAATGTTTTGCAATCTTAGATGAAAGATCATCACCACAGAAATAATAATTGGTCAAGATGTTAGAAAAAAATCTCTGAGTAAAAAAATGACTGAAACTTACAGGCAGAGGCCAGAAACAGATGCAAAGTGATAAAAATAGTTTGTATGGACATGGTGGAAGGGTAGGGTTAAGACAAAATAATAGATCAGATTAAACTCATCCCTCTGAAAGAATTTAAGTTATGGAAATATTCGTTTTATTTTATTAACATACAAATTTTTTTGTATAAAAAGTGTAAAACAATAATTCAAATTAATACAAGTACATATTAGTAAAATGTAATGTCTATGACAATATTGACTGATTGATTAGTGTTTAAATCCAGGGGCAAACATTATCTATATAGGTTGAAGAAGTCTAAATGTAATGTACATATATCAAAGTGAAAAAAAAATTTCCCTGAATTTTCATGATTTTGTCATACTTAGAGCAATTTTCATGTTCAATTTCACCTTCTGTATGTTGTCAAATACATCTTTAATTCAATTGTGTAGCAATAGGTTAAAATTCTATATTGGTGTCGTTTTAATGACAAAAATTTGGGGTATTCTTGGTCAGCAGTTTCGTTTTGATCGAACATTCATTGATTTATGAAATTTGTAGTTTTCCAAAATATGTACTTTAGAGGCACTTGAAGTGTCATTTACACATAGAATTTTACCAAATTCATATTACTTATACGGATTAAATATGAGGTGCTGAAAACATGAATAAAGCTATCGTAAAATACCATGACGTTCACAAATTAGCAATGTCAATGTGTATATGCACCTAAGGTGATATTTGTTTTAAATGGTGTTTAGTGCAGTGAAAAATCTAGACATTTAAATAAATAATTCAGATTTTTTTTAAACCCTTGATTATGCATATGAACTATGGTCAATTATCAATTTATGTACAGAAAGCACACAATTTCATTATTCTCTTAATCCTTTATTTTTGTAATAAGTGTTATTTTTTCATTATTCTATATTTTTACACAATTATTCTTTATATTTTAGCGCCCCATTAATATCTATTCTTTTATTTTTGGTCATTATTCTCTATTTTGTAAAACCCATCCAGACCCTCATAAAATAATTACAGTCTTGTCACTATAGATACAAAATATAATGAGGCATAAAAAAGTCGAAAAAGTATAAAAAAAATTTTGACAATGTTTGAAAAGAAAGACAAAAAAATATATATTTATATAAATTTAAATTTCCATATCTCATGAAATAGTGCCCAACATAATATCAGAATATACTTTTATATCTATTTATAGTCAACAAAACTACCTATTGAGCCAAAATCTGGAGGGATCTCAGTTACAGCACCATAGGTGAGAACTATTAACATAATAGAGATTGACAGGTATGTTAAAGTGTTATTACATGCATATTCAGCATATCATGTTAATGTGATATCAATGAACTCTGCTTTGAACTAGACCCATGTGCTGATTGGGCATCTTAACATACTAGCTTACAAAGAAACAGTCAGCAAAAAAAAAAAACCCAAATCACTCCACCTGACTAAGAGCCAATCAGTCTTTTGCTCTTTCTTCTGAGTGCCAATGTTAAGAAACAGCAATTAGGAATTTTAAATAACATGAAGTACTAAAAAAAGGAAGGATATCTATATAATCAAACCCTGGACTAACAAATCATACTATTACACATGTATACTTACAACCAGTATTAGTTCATTTATTCTACAATACATTCACAAAAAATTCCCCAAAAAATATATCATAAAAATCAGTTTTTCTCTTAAATTGTAAATATTTATCAAAATGAAGTTATATAAAAAATGCCGCCGTTCTTGAAAGACATCCTTTGTATCCTGAGATCAAGTAAAATATTACACAGATAACATATTATGATAACTTCTGCTTTGCAAATTCTTTACTCAAAACACTCATAACTTCACCATGCTTCATAGACTTGTCCTGTTTCTTGATCTCTTTATAATTCTCTTTGACAAACAAAGCAAATTTATTAGGTGTCTTTGCTGTACCATCTTTATTTGTAGCTTGGTTGGCAGGTTTACCAGATTTATCAAGTAATACAAAAGCTCCTTTACATTTTCCACAAACAAATCTCTTTGTATCTAGTGATTTGGAATGTCTACCAACTCTAAAATATACATACATTTTTATTTTCACCTAATAAATATAAAAATAAGAAGATGTGGTATGATTGCCAATGAGACAACTCTCAACCAGAAACCAAATGACACAGAAATTAACAACTATAAGTCACAGTACGCCCTTCAACAATGAGCAAAGCCCATATCGCATAGTCAGCTATAAAAGGCACGGAAATGACAAATGTAAAGCAATTAAAACGAGAAAACTAATGGCCTAATTTGTGTACAAAATAATGAACGAAAAACAAATGTTACACAGCAATAAACCACTGAATTACAGGCTCATGACTTGGGACAGACACATACAGAATGTGGCGGGGTTAAACTCGTTTGAAGGCGCCAACCCTCCCCTAACCTGGGACAGTGGTGTAACAATACAACATAAGAACAAACTATAATCAAAGCCTTAAAGGCTGTAAAAGCAATTGCTGCCATGTTAATGTTTTGGGGACTTTTTCATCCACATATATATAAGAATTAAACCTGACAGGAGTGTTGTCTAGTGAGAAGTAAGAAGGTTTTAACTTTGTATCAATAAAAGACTTTAGCAGAAAGTCATTTTTGATATGTTTTATATTTCACAAGGAGACAACACGTTTACCAGGCTAAAGTTGGGGTCACATTTACATGTGCTGAAACATATAACTCAAAAAGAAATTATCCCCTGGTAGTGTTTGTAACTGGGCAATAATTTCCTTTATTGATTTAATTTTAACAATTATCATAATTAATTTAAATTTAACCATTCAATTAAAACATTTCAACTTTCCAGACGCAAATGTTGAAAAACGGGAAAGAAATAAAATATCTTACAAGACATAAACATGTAAAAAATAAATATATATTTCAGCTTACTAAAAATATTTTCATAATGTTACTTTGTCTTCATTTCTTAAAACTAAGTCCCAAACATTATTGCTCAGTTGATATGTGTCATCCTCATGCGGTACGAGATAACTATAATTATCATGCAATCCCGAAAAGGGGGGTCATCACAGACAAACATGACATTAAATCGTCATTATACGAACAAGAACAAACAGCTCTTCGTTGCTTTGATATTTATCAATTTTCAGGAAACATTGTGAAAAATGATCATCAATATTTCGAAAACATGTGAAATAAAATTGCAAAGATGGTGGACCGTCGAGTGTCAACACACGTAGTCAGTGGCGGATCCAGAGGGGGCGTAGAGGGCGTACGCCCCCCCCTTTACTGGGACTTTTTTTTTTTTAGACTGTAATATGATTAATCAGATTAATGTTCGTTAACCCTGCCATTTCCCGTATATTTAATTTCTATGCGACAATTCTTTACTCATAATGATATCATTCGCTACTATTTACGTGTAATATCTTATTAATTATGTCAAAGTCTCGAGATTCGCTACCGTGGAGTTGACCAGTACGTCGAAAAAACATCACTCAGTCAGTCATTTTGAAATTTAAATTACTGTTACACATTGCTAATTATGAGGATAACATGCATGACGCATTCAAAGCGACAAAGAGTGGAGCAAGAACGTATTGACTCCTATTTCACAATTCTACCAAACAGAAGGATATTCTTTTACACTCACATGATAAAAAAAGTTCCACAGCTATAATATTTACCTATGAAAACATGTTTAACCCCACACGCCCCAGCTCATTAATAATATTGCTGAATAATGATCTCAAGTCAGTAATCTCTAGATATATATATAAGTCTAAGGTACGGACCATTTGATTTTCGGGAGGGGGGAAGGGGTGTCTGAGATATTTTAGAGAAAACAAATTCTAACCTTTATTTTTGACTTAAAAATAATTCTGACCGTACCTGGGTTGAATAATCTTGCACAATTCTTTGCTGTTAGAAAAAGAAATTCCAACAGATTTATTTAGCATTAAATGTATAAAAAACGGGCATAAGTTTTTTTTTTGGTAGAATGTAAATCCCAGGCCACCCTCAGAAAATCAATTGGTCTGCCTAAACTCTTGTAAGTATTTGAATTACTATTCTTGTGATTCTTAATTAATGTTTCTAAAAGGTGTTTAGACTAAAGAGAGGGGTGTGACTGGAATGTCTGTTTCGTCGAACTGGTATACTATGTACATTTTCAATGACCGACTGCAACCTGCCTGCTGGATGTGGCCTTTCAGTCTCCATTTCTAGACCTTCATTGTCATTTCAGACTCATTCGTAGCCTTTGGTTGATTTGGAACCCCTCACTTCCCTTGTTGGGTGAAACATTTCAACCATACATTAAAATTTTGGATAAACAATGATGTTTTGTATTTCTTCGTGTAGGTCGTATTGTAAATTTCATTGAATGCCGTATATCTTGTTTACAACAAGAAATCTGTGAGGTTATGCTAACTAACCATACAATAAACGTCTACTTTTTACTGACAAATCTCACATCAATATGTTGGTACATAGCTTTGAATCCGTCCAATCATTTTATGATAGACAGGTAATGGGGAGAAAAAATTTCCAACTTTTACACTGTAACTATAAAATATACATGCCACACGTCAGGAACCGTGAAATTAGTGCATTTTACACTTATTTTTATGTTTATTAGCCAAAACAAGGTCCAAAAAATTTTCATATTACACCCCCTCTTTCCAAAATCCTGGATCCGCCCCTGGTAGTAGACTCGTCCACTGGAAAGATGAGGATAATGGTTTCATCATTTGTCATGCATACCCAGTTTTGATTATGATATCCAAAAGGACGTACTTTTTTTCAATCTATGAAACTAGAAAATTCCAAATTGTAAATATCTCTTCATCTGGACTTGGCATCTATCACGTTTTGACGGGTCCATTCCATTAGTAAGGTGATCGATAAATCTTACGGAGTTCTGACAAAAAAGGAAAACGAACTTATTGTTATGTGTTTTTAACAAGGGTTTCGTTCCGCTGAATTACTTGCGCAAACAAATCAACAAAATAGGTCAGTTAAGTTTGTCTATTTTTAGATTACAGGTAATCATTTGACACTACGTATAACCTGTGTAGTGATTTTGATTTTACGATAAATTTATGAATGAACGATAATTTTATGAATGAATAAGAGCACCTGGCCTCTTTCTTAGAGAAACACCAATTAAACACATAAAACCGTATTTAATAAGAGATAATTCAGTAAAATTTTCAATACTAAATCAACAACTGAAATGATTCGATATTTTGTTGAAACATCGTACGAAAGGAGAACGGAATCGCAGGTATACAAATGCACTTTTTTCACTCAGACTTCTATGTTTTTTGATAGTCAAACGGTTGTCCCCCTAAATACAAAAATACATCTACAAGAACATATGCTGAAACCTCTTAAATCCACTAACGTTTCTCAAAAGTTTTAAGCTATGTATTGCATTAGAAAACATACATAGATGTTTAAGAATAACAGACCAGAAGCCTGTTTAACAAAATACTATGGCTTGATCTGGGCGGAGTCTGATTTGCGTAACAAAGATGGCCATACGCGATGGCATAAAAGCAATTGCTTAAAAAATCAGTTGAAAAAGGCTCAACTCATCACATGGATACAAATAGAAATACATCTATCAAAAACACAGAGTGGACGTGGACGGGTACTTATACATCCCCATAACAAAAAGACACTAAGTACAGATCTGAGAGTACTGGCAGTTACTGACAGCTAGTTCAAAGCCAATAACAACTAATGAAAAAGATCATGCATCTAAGACTAAAATATCATTCAGTACACATCCAACATCCAATGGATTTAGTGTAAAGATGTCATAAACAGTTAAGAGAAAACCAATGTCCTTGTGCAATGCCAAAGCATTATATGTATTACTTTAATTACATAGTCATAATTTTACCCGATGAGTTAACATGTAAATGCATATGTAATTTTTATTTTGGCTGTTTGGTTTTTGCTCATTGTTGACCCCTCTGAGTAATAATTAGAAACAGTCCTATGTGTCATCTATTCAGATGTTCTTGTCCAGTATTTCGCCATATCCTAATATCTGTTTATTATGTTACTATTAAGGATATAATTATATAAAGAAGTATTGTATCCATTGGAATTTAAACTATTTTCATGTTTTACATGACAACTGGTTAGTGAAGGATATATCCCCTGGTAGTTCTGTAGAATTTAGGCCTCTGATATGTATCCAGAACTAAGTTCATCTGGTGGATATTGACTGACACAAGAGTACAGGTGTAATGATAAATATTTTAGATACATTATGTTAAGAAATATTATTTAAATGACGTCTGAGTTTAACAACAATGAGTTATGAACACTATTCTTTCAAAATCAGACAAAATAGGGGGAATGAACCTGAAGTGAGACTGGTTTAATTTTCCTTTCGTCTCTTTTTATGTGTTTTCTTAAAAAGCATTAAAAACATGATATAATAGTGTATATTATTCAACTTGAATTTAATTAATAAAAAATGCTTACACTAAACTGTTACCTAAAGAAGCCTGTTTACTTACTCATATTTACAATCTACACATTGGTATTTATATTTTGTTTGTATTTTGTAACTATGGCAACGTGTAACTACTGCAATCTCTGGATGAACCTTATTGGCTTTACTTGCCCTGAAAAAAGAGGAGAATACATAACATATGTAGATATGTAAAATTGATTGTTTCTTTTTTTTTTTACACAAGGATCTGCAGTACATTTTTTTCTGTCTGACTTGTTAATTTTCTGTCAGACTATGACATTATATGTCTTCTTTCGTTTTCTGGATAGTTTCAATTTATGATTGTCCTGCAAAGAGAACAGGTATACAGGACAAATCTAAACTCAAACTTTAAAAACAAACATTGTTCCATAGAACGTATGATTATGTCACTTTTTTCTTCCCTTGATTTAAAAAAATCAAAAAGTATTATAAATCTACCAAATAACATCCTTTAGGTGTTCATTAAACATAAATCTGACAGATTTCAGTATTCATATTTTTTATTTTTTCCCACATATTTGCATTATGGCTTCTAACTTCTTGAATTAAGTGTAAAACTTCAAAAAATAGTCAAAATAGCCTCGTTTTGAGATCATGTCATTAGTATTTATATATATGTAAAGGCTTTACACTAAAGCCCTTGAAACCTTGACCCAAGTGTCCAAAGTGTGAAATAAAATAGACATAAAACTATACCAAATACTGTTTGACATATGTATAGACACACATCAACAGATGAATCCATATGCACCCACCACATTCTTGGCAAGCCATGAAAACATTATTACAGATTTGATTCCGTTTGAAAGAAGATTTCTTTTAAAATAAAGAAAATCATCTGCTGAATTGATAGAAGAAACTATTCAAGTTTTACTTGGTAACTTTATGTTAATCAACACTGGCCCACCTAGATTTCTATATTCTTATCATACTGACCAGTACTTCCAATAAGGACCATGTCCATCCTTTACACCATTTAATACCCATACTGCAGCATGGCACAGTTCATGTATTAATGTATCTCTAGTTCTCTCTGTAAACATAATTATAACTTATCATTATCACCACTGACTCTATTCAATAACCATACTGCAGCATTAGCAAGCTAGAGTGCAAGAAAGCATGATCTCTATCTCATCACATTTTAAAAGAACTTGGAGCATGCTTTCAGTAAATGCAAGCATTTTTTGATAATGTGTTATTAAAAAGTTTTGTTTAATTTAACTTGTAGATGAATGTGTTTTTGTTATCTTTAATACTGTTATAGATGAATGTGTTTTTGTGATGTTTAATACTGTTATAGATGAATGTGTTTTTGTGATGTTTAATACTGTTATCTGGTGCAGTAAAACTGGTACCATTGAAAGTTATTAAGAGTCGAGTGTTTTTTTTATTCATAGGTAATTTTTTACTGTACAGTCTTCTCATGTTGTTTTGCTTTTAGTAGGGAACCTTATTAGTGGTTGTCTGTTCATATCAGTTATTTGTCCTTCATAATATGTAGTGTTTATGGCAGATCTTTGCTGTCCTTGTAAAATTTAATCACAATGATGATTCATTTGAACTGAAAATAACAGGAATAAATATACTAATTTTTCAAACAAAAAAGTAATTCAACACATTTCAAGGAGGTAATACCTGCTGAATCACACACTTTAATGGACAACTCTATCTGGCAAATTTTGACTGCTTCACAGTTTGTCTTATTCACACAATACCCTGCTGTCTTTAACAATCTCTTGTTCCATATTATATTTAGGTTTGTTGGAAGCTAAAAATATAAGTTCTAAAATATCATAACCAATATAAATAAATAGATAAAAATAAAAGAAGATTGTGCCTGAGGACGCGCCTGCCCCCTGCTTAAGCTTTGAAATTTTTCATGTCAAAAAGGGGCATAATTCTAGAACAGTAAATGACTCACTGCCAAAATTCGAACTTGAGATCTGGTTCTTTGCATTGGGTTGTATTTTTGCAATTTTAGTGCATAATTTTTTATGCAAAGGTTAGATTTGCTCATTGATAGATATACAACTCTTCATATCAATGTTGATCACATTTTACGCAACCATGAAAAATCACCCTAGGGCAAACATTTCCATTTTATAATATTAAAATTATGTAGGCTATGTCTACAAAGACTCAAATCCTACAGTTGTCAACTAAAATATATGAAAACATTTCATCAAACAAGAATGTTCTCGAACTGTTACTATGTGCACTAGTGAGCCTGCATCTCTAACATAAGTTTTATATTCATTCCTAAGGAGAGGAATTGTAATCATGATTTGTTCCAAATTACTACTAGAATATTATTTATACACATCATTTAATCATACATACATCAACAGTAGATTTAATGTTTTTGATATTTTCATATCAAAATAAAGATAGGGTTTAATTAAGACCTGTATGGCACCATATCTGCTTTGTGGGACAGCACAGAATTTTTTGTAGTTATGTCGACCAAATGTTTCTGCCTTGTTGCTTTAGCATGAGTTTCCTTCAAAATTGTTATTGTTGAAATGAGTCACCTGCTACTGTACAATATGTTATTCTTTGAGGTAAAGATCTGAAAAATTGATCTAAGCTCAATAACTTTACTTTGATCTGTAAACAATGAAAACGAAGTAAAGAAGTTGTGATGTGACTTACCTTACAATCAAATACTGTCTCATTATAAAACTTAAACAGCTTAGCTGTTAAGTCCTCTTTAGTCTTTGCAAAACCATTAACATATCTGAAATTGCATAATTTAATGACACAGGCTTCAAGATAAATAAATCTCCAAAAACTAAGTTCATTAACCGACCGTGCGAGGGCTGTATAGCCAGCCAAGGTCGTTAAAAACTCCTCATCATTAATCAGTTATATATGGAAAATGAAAAAGAAATTTGACTACAGATACGTTTTGATCATAAAGAAGCTTCTGAGTTTTGTAAAATATCCATGTCTATTTGAAGTTGTTGATGTCTAAATGTGTAACCAGGCAAGACAAAAATTACAGCATTTACAATGAAGATCAAACCTGTTAATTTGTTTTGCAAGTGAAATACCTGAGTGCATCTGGGTCACGTAGTTCAACAGGTATACTGCTACTCAGAGATTTAAGGAAAGAGAACTTCTTCACTGGAATGTTGCCTCTGTTTATTTTACTTGATACATCTTCTCTTTTAGGAGTTTTGAATACATCTTCTCTTTTAGGAGTTTTGAACACATCTTCTCTTTTAGGAGTTTTGAATATATCTGCTCTTTTAGGAGTTTTGATTGGTTGTCTCTTTGGCTTAGGTTTCTCAATAGCTGTATAAAAGTATTAATTAACAAGAAATGATTGTAACAGGATGCTGTTACGAAGTCTCCCAAACGAAGCTCCCATAATTCGTAATTCCCAGGGTCGCCTGACATTGGGCAACGTCCAGTGAAAATTGGTTTGGTCCAGTAAAGTTATATGCATTAGTAATGCCTGGGGACTAACCTTGTATATCATTCAAATCATCTTGGCATGACAAACCAGAATATATATGGTTTAGGGGTGGGGATCTCGACCATTTACAAGATACTAGAACATTGGGGGTGGGGAGGAACCCCTGGGGACTGGCCCTATACATCATTCAAATGTTCATTACATGACGAACAGGAATATATATGGTTTAGGGGTGGGGATCTCAACCATTTACAAGATATTAGAACATTGGGGGTGGGGGGAACACATGGGGACTGACCGTATACGTCATTCAAATGTTCGACAAATGACAAATAGGAATATATATGGTTTAGGGGTGGGGATCTCAACCATTTACAAGATATTAGAACTTTCTCAAATGGCAGGGGGTGGGGTGACCCCTGGGGACTAACCCTGTGTTTCATTTGATGTGCTTTATCATGACAAACCAGAATATATATGGTTTAGGGGTGGGGATCTCGACCATTTACAAGATATTAGAACTTTCTCAAATGGCAGGGGGTCAGGATGACCCCTGGGGACTATCCCTGTATATCATTCAAACCATCTTAGCATGACAAACCAGAATATATATGGTTTAGGGGTGGGGATCTTGACCACTTAGAAGATATTAGAACTTTCTTAAATGGCAGGGGGTGGGGGTGACCCCTGGGGACTAACCCTGTATTACATTTGATGTGCTTTATCATGAAAAACCAGAATATATATGGTTTAGGGGTGGGGATCTCGACCATTTACAAGATATTAGAACTTTCTCAAATGGCAGGGGGTCAGGATGACCCCTGGGGACTAACCCTGTATATCATTCAAACCATCTTAGCATGACAAACCAGAATATATATGGTTTAGGGATGGGGATCTTGACCACTTAGAAGATGTTAGAACTTTCTTAAATGGCAGGGGGTGGGGGTGACCCCTGGGGACTACCCCTGTATAACATTTGATGTGCTTTATCATGACAAACCAGAATATATATGGTTTAGGGGTGGGGATCTCGACCATTTACAAGATATTAGAACTTTCTCAAATGGCATGGGGGTTGGGATGACCCCTGGGGACTAACCCTGTATTTCATTTGATGTGCTTTATCATGACAAACCAGAATATATATGGTTTAGGGGTGGGGATCTTGACCACTTACAAGGTATTAGAACTTTCTTAAATGGCAGGGGGTGGGGGTGACCCCTGGGGACTAACCCTGTATATCATTCAAACCATCTTAGCATGACAAACCAGAATATATATGGTTTAGGGGTGGGGATCTTGACAACTTACAAGATATTAGAACTTTCTTAAATGGCAGGGGGTGGGGTGACCCCTGGGGACTAACCCTGTACAAAATGTATTACATTTGATGTGCTTTATCATGACAAACCAGAATATATATGGTTTAGGGGTGGGGATCTCGACCATTTACAAGATATTAGAACTTTCTCAAATGGCAGGGGGTCAGGATGACCCCTGGGGACTAACCCTGTATATCATTCAAACCATCTTAGCATGACAAACCAGAATATATATGGTTTAGGGGTGGGGATCTTGACCACTTACAAGGTATTAGAACTTCCTTAAATGGCAGGGGGTGGGGGTGACCCCTGGGGACTAACCCTGTATTTCATTTAATGGGCTTTATCATTTAGAACATTTTCAATTAAAAAGATTGTGTCTATCACAAACGGTTTTCAATTTATAATCATTTTAAAATTTAAAAAAATAAAATCCCATAGGGTTCTATAGTAAAACCCTCTTTTCTTTTTGCCCCTCAAAGTACCCCTTTATAAACCCCATTGCACAAACAAAACCCTGATTGCACCACTAGACATATTAGTCTAACATATTGTGAAACCCTAAGTTAATCTGACAAGCGGTTTTGGAGAACGAGTGCGGACAAGTTCAAATTTAAAAGCGGCGGAAGAAGAAGAAGAAGAAGAAGAAGAAGAAGAAGAAGAAGAAGAAGAAGAAGAAAGAAGAAGAAGAAGAAGAAGAAGAAGAAGAATAATAATAATAAGAACTGAGCAAAAACAATAAGTCTTCCCAAACTTCGTTTGGGAGACTTAATTAAGAAGGTAGTTTCATAACTATCATGAGAAATTCATTGTAGCATTTTATAATTCATTCATGGCATTTTCAAAAATATATGTACAGGGTCAGAAGAAGTCACTTTTTACTTCATAATCAAAGTCAATTCTCTTCAAAAGAATTATCCCCTAAAATTTCAACAGAAGTGCTTTCCTATCCTATACTATTCCTCATATTTATTCTTAAACAACTCTCGTGTATATGTAACACTTTCAAATGTGTCCATCCCCCCAAAACGTGTCAGATTCCCTCAAACGTGCCTTTTTCGCCATAACATGTCCTTAAATTCCCAAATCACCCAAACGTGTCCAATTTCACTTCCCCCAAATGTGTCTGATTATTGTTATTTTCCAAAACTTGTCCACTTAAGACGCCAGAACGTCATAAAACTTTTACCGCTAATATGTCTTCAGCGATGTCAATATATGAATACAAATACTTTATTAAATTCAATTACCGAGCATATACATATATATATACAGTATTAATTATAATAAGATATATTACATTAAAATTAATATGTAACTTATAGTTATTCACTGAATAAACTCATCATAGATAAAGAGACATAAACAAGAGAAATAACTAAATGCATCTATCATAAGCATCCCTGATACCAGGCTTATAATTTATAATCGTTAGAAAAACATGTATAACTTAAAAGTAACGTTAAAATACGTAAAAAACAGTATGCGTAACTTATAAGATGTGAATTTAAGTCATTTTAAATATGCATCATCTATTTAAGGATGTTCGCTACTCTGTTTTAAAATAACAAGCTTTTCAAAAGACTGTTAAAAGTTGATAGTATATAAATGAAGGAACTAAAAAAGCAGAAAAAAATGAAGGGTCCGTGTGCTTGTTTTCGAGATATAGGCCATTGAAAATTTGGCGGGAAATGATTCTCTCGAGATTTTTCATACATTTAACATTGGCACCTTTTTTCTTTCAAAAACAATGAAAAAATAATAAGGATTTTATAAGATTTTCAAATATGGCCTTTTAAACTATATGTAATAAAATTATGAAAAGAGAAATGGGGGTTAGCAGGCAAAAATTTTTAATGGCACTACACGGATAAAACCAGAGGATTCCGAATATCTGGCAAAAATTCAAAAACAATAGGAGCGAACATCTTTAACTATCACATTATGTTAAATATATTGTTAAAGAAGTAATAATCGACTAACAGAAAATAATCTATAAACTGACTGTTACTTGCTTAACATTTTGTGGCAATTATTTCATGCGTATTTAGGACAAATGCTTAATGACCAGTGTCAAATATTTCATGCATGCTTAGGATTACAACATATTAACAATAAATTCAATATATAGGTAGGACATGTTTGGGCGTTTTTAAAATATGGACATAATTGAGCCTTCACAAAAATAAGATGTTAAGGCTTTAATTAAACATGTTTGGTGGATTGGATACATTTGGGCGTCTTTAATAAACTGGAAACGAATGAGCGTTAAAAAGGACACGTTTTGGTGGTCTTTAGCAACTAGATATACTTTTGCAGTTCAGTGACGTCATATGGATGCGTTTGTGGAATTGGGCACAATTGGGGGAATGTTACATATATTTTATACTTTAATATTGACTGGGTATTAGTGGAATTGTAAGTTTATTGTCCCCCGAGGTGCAATTATTGCCCTGAGGCGTAGCCGAGGGCAATAGTTGTATTCAAGGGCACAATAAACTTACGTTTCCATGAATATCCAGTCAGTTAGTGATTTATTATACCGAAAGAGACAACAGACGCAAATTTATGCCAAGGACTGATCGAACGACACAGCTGACCAAAATTAATTTTTACTCCTCTAAGGTTTTTAGATCGCTGTCTTTTTCTTTAAGGTAGTCGGATATCGTTTCAGCAGTTCGGACGACTGATTTTGTGTTTTGGCATCCTTGTCCTTAATTAATCCTTTCAAATCTCCATCAGAAAGCAACGCAAATTGCCTTGACTGAGCCATAATCATGTCGTCTGTTGCGACTTGGTGTGTGTTCGAACGACTCGGGAATCAACTTAATTATTGAGATGAATTCCGATAGTCCCGAATGAACTGTTAACAACCCTTTAGCCCCTAGCTGCAGTCAAAATTCCACGAAATATAATGATGCTTGCTGTCAAAGAGTTGGAAACTATTGACTGGTCAAAAAGTTCAACGCTTGCAATTTGAAAAATAGTGAAAATATTGTGTACTTATTTTATATAGAAAATGATAACTGAGGTATAATAAGATATACAATTCTTTATATTTCTTTCCTTAGTTTTATTTTGTTGAGCATTTTCTGAATAGCCCTTATTTTTGGATTCCCTTTACAAAAACAAGAATGTGTCCAAAGTACACGGATGCCCCACTCGCACTATCATTTTCTATGTTCAGTGGACCGTGAAATTGGGGTCAAAACTCTAATTTGGCATTAAAATTAGATCATATCATAGGGAACATGTGTACTAAGTTTCAAGTTGATTGGACTTCAACTTCATCAAAAACTACCTTGACCAAAAACTTTAACCTGAAGCGGGACAGACGGACGGACGAACGCACAGACCGAAAAACATAATGCCCCTCTACTATCGTAGGTTGGGCATAAAAAGGAAGGAAAAATAAATGATACTAATTAATCCTAAACTATAACACAAATCTTCCAATACAGCCTCCATTTTTCCTAATCCTTAATTGGGGTTAAGCTTAAAAGAATATCAGTCCATTTGTATGTCCCTTCTCCATATTTTATTGTTAAAAT